CAAATACAGACTTGCTCAAACTAACCCAAAATAACCCGTTCGCCTAGTGCGATCTAGTACTCATAAGTTAGCATTTTATCCAAAAAAACAGTCAATTTATTTATAGCGTAGGGTCCCTTGACCGCGCCTGGTTTTTCAAATAAAATTCTATTTAACGAAGACTAGATCGCACTAGGGGAACAGGTTAGTATGGGTTAGTTTGAGTAAGGCTGCATTTTTCTGAATTTTATTGATACAATTTGATGTGTCCCTCTTTTGCTTACAGTCCTCGTAGATAGTTAGATACTTCGCGTTGTTGTCCAATCGTGCTTTACTACAGTCGCGTTTTTGTTCCGTCGCGCTTTTTCTCCCGCGTTTTTGTCCCTCGCGCTTTTGTTTCTCACGCTTTTCTCGCTCGCGCCTTTGTTTCTCGCGCTTTTATGCAGTCGAGTTTTTGTTCCGTCGCGCTTTTGTCCCTCGCGCTTTTAGTATGGCGCTTTTCTCCCTCGCGCAAACGACTGTCGCGCAAATGACACAGAGCCAAGTTTATGGTTCGAATACCAGTTTTGACAGATGAATGAAATTTTCTACCGACATTTTTATTGATACTGTTTACTGTTTTGCTAACTTGATGTCAAGTTAGCGAAATACATGATATTTTTTTCAAACGCGATATTTTCTTGTAGAAAAAGAGATAATTAGCGGCAAATTTCCACTCACTCAATTCATCACTACCGACATTTTTAGTGATCTCGATAACTTCACGTTAAATTAGGAAAACACTATTTTATTTTCGAACACGATTTTCTTATGAAAAGAAAGGTAGCGGCAAATTTTTAGTTTTCACATCTAATTAGCGGCAAAAAAACGGCAAATTTCCATTCACTCAACTCATCACTACCGACATTTTTAGTGATATTGTCTCGCTAACTTGAGCGAAACACATGATTTTTTTTCCAACTTGATTTTTTGTAAAAAAAAGCGGCAAATTTTTGGTTTTCACAACTAATTAGCGGCAAAAAAACGGCAAATTCCCATTCACTCAATTTTTCATTACCGACATTTTTGGTGATAATGTCTCGCTAACTTGACGTCAAGTTAGCGAAACAAATGATTTTTTTTCAAACTTTATTTTTTATGAAAAAAAAAAATAACCGGCAAATTTTTGATTTTCACAACTAATTAGCGGCAAAAAAACGGCAAATTTTCACGTACCTAGTTTTTTAGTGCTGACATATTTAGTGATGTTGTCTCGCTATCTTGACGTCAAGTTAGCAAAACACGTAATTAAGAAAAAAACCAAAAGAGCGGCAAATTTTTTAATTCCACATTTAATTAGCGGCAAAAAAGCGGCAAATTCTTGGCATAATGGAAAATCGATTTTTCGAAGTTGTCTCGCTAAGTTGATAGACATAAATTATTTGCGACTTCTGTAAATGTATCTACTGCTTAAACTGTTCAAAATTTTCTATTTCGGAGGGACAGGTCACTCAAATGAGGGCCAGAACAATGCTTTTTGCATGTTGCAACTGCATTGATTCAGTTCTAAAAATAAATAAGGACAACACTGAAAATAGTTCTGCAATATTTTGTGATCATAAGGACTCTGTACCCAATAATATTATGCAGAATTTTCTAGAAAACATGAAGACAGACATAATTGGGCAAATATCTCAAGAATGTGATGCCTTCAAGACGGTTTTAACAAGAGAACTAAGACCGAGTACCATTAATTATCAGGCTAATTCTGATGTAGCTGATATGCAAGAGGTGCTCGCTAGGTTAGATCTGCTCGAGAAAAATAACAAAAATTTACTTAAAAAGGTTTCTACATTGGAGGATGAGATCAAAGCATATCGAATTAAACCTCACCTGAGGTGGAAAACTTGCGTAAACAAACACCTCAAAATAATCAAAACATTCAAAGTAAGGAACAAACTAAAACTAGTAGTAATGTGGAGGAAAAATCTGTGGGAAAACTGCAAACTACACTATCTGCTACGTCTGCTCAAAATACAATAATTGTGGGCACTGCCTCCAATGTTAGTTCTTTCTCTGCTGCAGAGCGGAGACAGTGGATCTACATTGGTCGATGCAATCCGTCCACAACTGAAAAAGATATTACTGATTATATGGCTGACAATTTGGAAATTACCGATGTTAAATGCTTTGTTTTGGATAAGAATGAAGATGTTTCTTCTTTTAAGATTGGAATAAAAGAAAGCGTTGTAAAAGGGCTATTAGATCCGAATTTATGGCCAAAAGGAACTGCTGTCGAGGAATTCCTTCCTAGGAGGCAACCTAAGGCAACAAATTTTCGGCAAACAAATCAAATAGTTCAGAGTTAATGGACAGCTTAACAGTATTTTACCAAAATGTCCGTGGTCTAAAAACTAAATTAAAAGAATTTCTGACTTCTGTGATATCTGAGTCTTACAGTATAATTGCTATAACTGAAACAAATTTAGATTCTGATATAAATGATTCGGAGCTATTTTCTGGTAATTACATAGTGTATCGTACTAATCGCGGTTCTGACAACAGTTCTAAAAAGTCCGGAGGTGGAGTACTTATAGCAGTGAAAAGTGAGTTCAAATCTCAAATAGTTGCAATAAATAACCCTACCGTGGAAGAGGTTTGGGTTGCTGTGCTAGTGGGTAAGTCACATTATTGCATTGGTACAGTATACATTCCTCCTAGTATGGATTCGTCTGTCTATACTGCTCATATTGAATCTGTCGCAACCAGTTTAATGAAATTATGGTGATAGGAGACTATAACCTTCCAAGATTAGATTGGCGTGTATCCGAGGAGTATATTGGCTTACTTCCTGGCAATGTTACTGGTGTTACAGAGACACTAGTGTGTGATAATATGGCATATTATGGTCTTGCCCAGTATAATGGTGTAAAAAATGACAATGGTAAAACTTTAGATCTTTGTTTTACTGATTTAGAAGTGCTGTCACTTAGTAGAACTGTAGGATTAGTTAAGCCAGATGTCCATCATCCTCCACTGGAAATATGTATTTCTATGGATTTCAGTGAGGGTTTAAAGCCTGATTGTGGTTGGAATTATGATTTTAAAAATGCAGATCACTACAGATTAAACCAGTATTTTTTATCTATTGACTGGTATTCACTCTTAGTGGGGAATATGGACAATTTGGTTGAGAAATTTTATTATATTTTGTTTGAAGCTTTTGAAAAATATGTACCTGTAAAACACACAACTGTTAGTACTTTTCCTGCCTGGTTCTCAAAAGAACTAAAAAACCTTATATTTAACAAAAAACAAGCTCATAAAAGATTTAAACACACCGGCAGGCAAGAGGATTACACAGTGTTTTCTAGGCTAAGGCAACAATGCAAAACTTTAACTGAAATGGATTATAACAAATTTATTGAAAATTCAGAAAACTAAATTAATAACAACCCTAAACACTTGTGGAATTTTATTTAAACAAAAAAGGGAAGGAGTGATTGTCCCAAGATTATGAAATTTGGTGACAGAGTTGCGGATAATGGAAATGATATTTCTAATTTGTTTGCGGATTTTTTTTCTTCTGTTTATACTTCTGATTCACAAAATTTATCTGACTCTGACTGCATTCCGGAGTTTGACCAGGATTATTCAGATATGTATCTGAGTGCCCCTGAAATAGAGAAAGTACTAAAAGAGCTTGACAGTTCAAAGCCTATGGGTCCAGATGGTGTTCCTCCATCTGTTTTGAAATGTTGTGCTGAATCTCTTTATATGCCACTGTATATAATATTTAATAGATCACTAAAAATTGGTGAGTTTCCAGCCGTATGGAAAAAATCTTTTGTAGTTCCAATTTTTAAATCTGGGGACAAAGGAAATGTCGGCAATTACCATCCAGTTAGTATTCTTTCAGCTGTTCCTAAATTATTTGAGCATTGTGTTGAGATAAGACTAAAAAGGTTCTTTGAGAAGATAACAGTATCAGGGCAGCATGGTTTTACCTCTGGTCGTTCTGTTGATACCAACCTGTTTTTATATACCAACTTTATTTCTACTGCTATGGTGGAAGGTGCTGAGGTTCATGCCATTTATATGGACTTCAGCAAAGCTTTTGATAGAGTGAGCCATGCTGTTTTGATATCAAAATTGAGAAAGTATGGTATTGCTGGGTCATTATTGGAATGGATGGAATCTTATTTATCGAATCGGTACCAAGAAGTAAGGATAGAAGGTTATCTGTCTAATATATTTTTTGTCACATCAGGGGTTCCACAAGGGTCACATTTAGGTCCCCCTTTGTTTAATATCTTTATAAATGACATTTGTTCTTTCTTGGAAGTTGCATATCTATTATTTGCTGATGACCTAAAAATATATGCCAGGATTCTGGATTATTGGTCGCTATTGTAAAACTGATGTCAACCTGCAGAAACACCTCATTTTGCGACCGATCAGGGTCAAGCGTTATTGTTTATGTTTCAAAGTTTTCAATGTCAAAATCTATCTTGGGAAAAAATAAAGTGTAGTAATGTCCTTTCATGTAACTAGTTCTAAGGCTTTTCGTTGATAACAGATTTAAGTTTAGCTTTGTCATTAAGATTGTATCTTTGATAATAAAGCAATTTTTGATTTGATTTGATTTGATAATGCACTCAAATATCCACAGCTACTCATCAAGAAACGAACATGCTTTATTAGCCCCAGTTATAAGATACTTGCCTTGTCAAGTGAAAGAGTCCAAATGAGAAGGTATTCAGGAAAGAACTCAAAAAACTGCTACATGTGCCACATTATTGGCGATTTCTTTCAACAATCATTTTAAGCACTGTCATCGGTCATCAAATGGACTTGTTAACATTTCCTTTTTTTTTGGGTTCTTTTTGTGCTTTTGTTTTTATGTTTGTACTTTAGCTTGACTTAAATCACCAACCCATTTTAATAGAAACAGTTGAAAATTTCTAATTAAGATAGTAAAGACAAGATTTAATTGTTTTGCATAGACATATTTACATAAACTAACGTTCTATCCTATTAAGGCTGCAGGTATCGTGGTCGATATGATCAGAAGCAAAAAAATGGCAGGCCGAGCCGTATTACTAGCCGGTCCTCCAGGTACTGGCAAAACTGCCATAGCTCTTGCAATAGCACAGGAACTGGGTAATAAAGTACCTTTCTGTCCGATGGTCGGATCGGAAGTGTACAGCTCTGAAATAAAAAAGACAGAAGTACTGATGGAAAACTTTCGAAGGGCTATTGGTTTGAGAGTAAGAGAAACTAAAGAAATTTATGAGGGAGAAGTTTGCGAACTCTCTCCTGTGGAAACGGAACATCCCGTTGGAGGTAAATTATTTTTAACTTAATTAGAAATCTGGAAAACCAGCTAGATTATAAAATCAGAATAGATTTTTTTTTTAAATTGCTTCCTGACACAAAACTAGAAAATAACTCCAATAAGTCCATACAAATAAATTCCAGGTCAAGGTAAATCTGTCAGTCATGTAGTAATCGGCCTAAGAACAGCAAAAGGCACCAAACAACTAAAACTTGATCCGAACATTTATGAGGCTCTACAAAAAGAACGAGTCGAAGTAGGAGACGTAATTTACATAGAAGCCCTCAGTGGGGCTATAAAAAGACAAGGAAGATCTGATGCTTTCGCCACTGAATTTGATTTGGAAGCTGAAGAGTACGTGCCTCTACCCAAAGGAGATGTACACAAAAAGAAGGAAGTTGTTCAGGTAATAATAATTGGACTTTTTATTTTCTTGATACATCCTATTTTTATTTATAGGATGTTACATTACACGACTTGGATGCAGCAAATGCCAAGCCACAAGGTGGTCAAGATGTTCTTTCAATGATGGGGCAATTATTGAGATCCAAAAAAACCGAAATAACTGATAAATTGAGAAAAGAAGTTAATAAAATTGTCGACAAATACATTGACCAAGGGATTGCTGAATTGGTCCCCGGAGTACTTTTCATCGATGAAGTTCATATGCTGGATATTGAAACTTTTACTTATTTGCACAAGGCTTTAGAAAGTGCCATTGCTCCTATCGTTATTTTTGCTACAAATCGAGGCAGATGTCTTATTAGAGGCATGTTAGCATTCAAGTTTTGGTATTTATGTTTGTAATGATTTTATTTCAGGTACTGATGATATTTATTCTCCGCACGGCATTCCATTAGATTTACTTGATAGACTCTTGATTATCAGGACTGTGCCATACGATCGTCCAGATATGGAACAAATTTTGAAATTGAGAGCTAAAACTGAAGGTTTAGAAATTGATGATAATGCTCTAACAGCTCTAGGAGCTGTAGGCACAAAGGCTACTTTAAGGTAAAGTTTTTGTTTACTTTTAATATTAATAAAACAAAAATCTTTGCTTTTAGGTATGCAGTGCAACTTTTAACTCCGGCTCATTTAACAGCCAAAGGCAACAAGCGAACCAACATTACAGTCGCCGATGTTGAAGAAGTTTCATTTTTGTTTTTGGACGCCAAACAGTCGGCAAAGATTCTGTCGGAAAATAGTGCTAAGTTTATGCAATAAGTTTTAATTTTTAGTTGTTCGTGTTTGTTCTTTACAGCATCTGTAAATAATTTTGGAAGAATAAAGATTTTCTTCACATTTAGTTAGTATTAGCAATTCTTACATTTACATCTTTTTTATGAGGTTAACACCTTTTTTGCTTGAAACTTCAATAGGTTTTTCGAGCTCAATACTTTTCTTCATATTTTTTGGTCTGTAAGGATTTCATGGGAAAAACTTTTACCAGAAGGAAGTATTCATTGAATACTTTTTTTAGGATGGACTATTGATCTTCAATAAAGTTGAATACGTCTCTACCTTCGTCACCAAAACAACACAGACAACATAAAAAAAAAATAGGTATATGTTTATAAATAATTTATAATGCCTACAAATACATAAACTAAATCCAACGAGATTCCAAGACTAGATATTTATTACTATAATCAGCTACATTAGCAAATACTGCATTCCAATTCGCCACTTTTCGGCACACAATCCAAATAGATAGCGATCGCCCTAGTCAGATAAGTCATTGTACCGTAAGCACCACTGGGGGCGCTGTCGTAAAAGTGCTGACAAATGTAAGCAGCGCCGCCACAAAGTAACCCTCCCGCGTTGGTGGTTTCGCGTTGCTCACGCGGTTTGGCACAGCAAAGCGTCGCGTCTCCATCGCAACTCATCTACAAGAAACGATTATTGATAAATAAAGAAACACTACTCATTTGGGTTACCTGATCGGACAAAAATAGTTCATTAGCTCTATGAACCAAATATTCGATTTGTATGACGCCGCCTAGAAATGGAGCTACATTGTACTCAGCCACCAAAGTTAGGACCATTAGAGCTTCGACGATGAGCTGACGATACTCTGGTTGCGGGATGGTGTTCAAGACAGTTTCTACGGCGAGGGCAAACTTCAGTTCGCCAGGAGTCATTTCCTGGGTGAGGCATTGTGGAAGGACTTTGCCGGCTATGTCTATGCCGTGACACTAATAATATTATTGCAGTTTTCAAGATATTGGATTTTATACCTCCACTAAAAAAAAAAAACAAGATCTGCTAGGTACTTACTCGTTCAAGTACTTTCCAGACTCTCGGATAAAAATCTCTGGGTACCCTGTTTAAGGCGCCATCTAATCGTCGACGTCTCAACCACTGCCCTTGTCGATCGGGTTCGATCAGGTCGTCCGAAGCGTTATCAGCAGCAAGACTTATATGACTTTTCTGCAAAGCAATGTATTTAATAAAAAAATCGTACCATAGTTTTTAGTTAATTTCCTAATCACCTTGCTGATGCGACTCGATTTGTTGCTTATAATCGAAAAGTTTCCTCGTCCAACTGAAAAAAAATAGATTTTGTACTTTTCCATACTAATAAATGTAGCATTATGTATGCTAAAGTTGCTAGAAGGTGCAACTATAATCTCATAAGGTCTATGGTGTTCAAGCTCCGGGTCTCCATGTCATAAAACGAAAAAATTGAAAATGTTATATAAACTAAAACTGTAGAAAGCAGATTAGAAAAGAATGTAGAAGCTTTACCATTGGAAATCAAAGAAGAAAACATAATGTCAATAAGTATAAGAGTCCAAATCAAAGTTTCTTTCCGATTCTACTCACCACTGCTGATCGCAAACTCCTTGCCGCTAATAATGTGGTACAGCAAATTCTTCATTTCGAACGGGCTTAAATTGAGCAAATGCTCTGAAGCCTCGTCGCCGTCGCAGATCAGCGTCCTCGACAGTTCAGTAGCCATCACCTGAATGATGAGACCGATACGTAATCTGAGCATTTCCATGAACAAATGCGGCTCGGTGCGAATGAACATCGCCAGATACACTAGAAGTTCTTGAGTAAGCATGGCAGTGCTGTCGTCTTGGCCGTAAGCTTCATGGATTAATAGCCTACAAATAAAATTTTTGCAGAATTCATTTTCTTCAAGGAAAATAATTCTACCTTAGTTCACTCTCGGGCAAAGGAGCAGTTATGGTGTGTTCATTATTTGGTGGCATCCCAACAGTGATTTGTTTTTGACGGACTAACAAATCGGTCACGGATTTAGCTAAATCCTCGACTCTTTTACCCAGCATGCCGGCAGTGTGTCTCACCAAGCCCCACATTTTTTGCTGGCAAGCTTTCTCGTACAATCCTAACAAGAATATTTATTTATTTATTTATTTATTTAGCAATAACATCTATAAAATATAATTGTGTTTCCTTAAGATTTAGGTTAATATCCTTATCAATTAATGATTAAATAATTTAATAGGAACATTGCTATTGCTAAAGATAGCAGCGCACTATTACATCTGTAATGTTGTGTGTGCGCTCTTTTTTCTGTATACAATAATTCAATATTTAAATATTTACAAGGTTTCTAACTTTTATGCCAATTCTAATTATGCGGATATGTACTCCAAAATTCAATTCGGAAAAAAAATAAAATAAAATAACAAGTGATAAAACCAATATGAACAACCAAGGAATCAGTCTGATGCGTGCATATTGCAGATCAAATTTAAATCAGACTAACCAGTTAACAGTGAAATTTGTTTCACGTATCCACTGAGAGATGTCTCTCTTTACTCTGTGATATGGCCCTTTTCGGAAAGCATGCGGTAGGCAGTTATAAGTTTTAGGCCCTATACAATAGATATGTTTTTGGCACAATGTGTGTTTGGGGATTTGTTGGATGACATTTTTGTCTGCAGCATTTCGGGTGTATACACCATGTTGAATACTTTCTTTATAGTAGGGAAACTTTACCATAAATCTTATCACTGACTTTATGTACAGTTGATTTGGAGACATCAACTCACTCTTTTTATAAACTAGGTCAGTGGGGTATCTTTTTTATTATTTGAATTTAGCCCCATAATTGGGCTGAAATTTTAGAAATTCATTACCTTTTAGTAGATCTCTAACGGTCACCACTCGCCCATTTTCAAGCATGTCTGTGTTTGAGTCCAATCCTTTGCTGGCGACAAGAAATTGCAAAATGTCACCCTGCTCGTCTAGCGATTCGGATTCCCTGAGCATAGCAAATAATTCCTCTATCTGTTGAATATTAGTTATTGAAAAAAAGCCTATTTTTTACAAAATTGTGAAAGAGACTATTGAAATGGGCAAAAAACCGGCCTATATTTTACATTAGAACCTCTAATTTTTATGCATTTGATTATAACACATCTAGACAATCATTTATCTGGCTTTAAAATTCCAAAAATGTTGATTTTTTATTAGGTAGTCAAAAAATATATTTTTTAAAGAGTTCATGTTACTTCTTAATTTTTCATCAAGTTAACTGTGAAGCGTTATTATTGGTAAACCTATTTTAATATCACTTTCCTCAGTATCGGCATACTGCTGGGATTCGCTCTGAGTTCTGTGCCTGGAAATACTGATGATTGGCACGACGTCAGTTTTTCTCTCTAGATGAGTGCCTTTGTCAGAGGATTGATGAGATTTCAGATCTCCGGCAGAAGAATTGTCCACAGCGTCTGAAGTTTGCGAGAAAAATATAGAACCACGACGTTCTAGGGTTTCGTTGCTTTCCATACCCAGTATTTCAGCTGAAATAATAATCAGTTATGATATTTATCTATAGGTGGCCATTGATGTTATATGAAAAGAAAGGAATTATTATAACATGCAAAAAGTAAGAAAAAACAAGAATCAACTCACCACTGTTAATTTTAGAAGAATTAGGATCCCATATCCAAATGTGCAAAGCTGTTATAGAAAAAAAACACAAAACAACTGACAAGATCAACAAAGAAGTACATACATGCAAAAATATGCACTACCGGTTCTTACCATCCACATTTATGGATCTAGTTTTCTTAACTGCCCCTTTAACAGACATTCTACGTCTCAACAAGTGCCTATTCGGTCTTCTTGGAGTATTAGAAGTGAGCAACGTCGATTTGTGACACAGAGATTTCTGTAGATGTTCCTCTAAATAGTGGTAGACTTGAGGATTCAATTCTGGAATAAAATAATTAATTCCAACCTATATTAAGTGATTTGTACTTACTGTCTGGTACGCCATCTTCGTGACAGCCAAGAAAGCTCAGATTAGTGATAGAGCTGGTGTTGAGGAATTCAGATAAGTTTCCCAAAGTTACTCTTGTCCCATTTATGTAGCCAGATTTCAATTTTTTCATTGTAGTTATCATGGCGAGAGGGATTTTACCGTTTTCTATATTAAATAATAATTAACAATACATTTTAAAACAAAAACGATTTCTTTATTAAACTAGAAGTAGTAATAAAACTGAATGGGCCTTATATTATTTGTATAAGCAAAAGCGGATTAAAAAAGCAACAAATTACGTGTCCAACGTGCATTTAAAGAGTTTCAAAATAAATTTATAATAATTCTTCAATATGTTATCGAACAAAATTTACCTAAATAATGTTGGGAAGCCAATATAGTAACCGTAGGCCGTCCGAGTAGATTGCGCCAGCTCATAGTCAAAAATGCAATGTGAGTCATGAGCTTGTCGGCGAGCAAAGCCAAGTCGTAGCTCGTGTAGTACTCATTCATGTCCATATTCTGATTATACAAGTCGAGTTAGAAAGCAAACACACATGCAACAAAACAACACGCAGTGAGTCTAAAACAAAGACTCAATATCATTACTTAGTTGATGATTATGGCCAACATTTTTAAAATGACACAAACCCATGAATAATTGTTAGCAAACCTCCAAAAGCGTAGTTAGTAGAAAAATCAAGCCCAAAAATAAATACCTAAATGTAACCTCCGCAATAAAATAGTTATGAGAGGCCGACCGAGCATATTTTGCCAGCTTGACTTCAAAAAATTAATTTCGCTCTTGCAAATATCGATCATCAGTTCGTAATCGGAGGCTATGTAATTGTGAGACATGTCAGTGAACTAGAATTAATACAAACAAAAATATATCATCTTTTTTTTTCAAATATATAATAGAAGTTTATTAATGATATAAATCTCGAAAGATAAGTAGATTTGTCTTCACAATATATTGTAAAAAGTAACTTTACTGCACAAAAAGCGATGCAAAAAGTATGTATGTATTGTTATATACCTAGGACATGCCAAAAAATTCATCACTCCTCCTTACCTTTGGACAATACAAAATAAAAAGGCTGCATTGAAGTATAAAAAAAAAATCTGAGGTAATGAAATTTGGAATTCAGTTTTGCAGTGGGCGTAAAAATATATGGGTAAAAAAATCTAATAAAATCAAATTAGGTAACCAAATTAATGAGAGATTATTTCCCTTATAACAGGGAAATAATGAGTTGAGTGTGTTAAATGGAAACAAAACTACTATCGAACTTAAATAAATTGAACCAACCTGCGGAGTGAACGCAAATATCCTATCACCCAAAGAGTACAATTTGCTGGTGCTCAATATACCAACGTCTTTAGATTTTCGCCCAGTCAAACCCAACTTTTTATTGCGTCCCAAGTAAGTGTAAAGATGGGATAGAACTCTAGCCGGTTGAACCTAGAAAACGATTAGCAATTTTGAGACAACGTAACTATCTCAACTCACCTCTATAGGAGCCACTTCGGCGACAGTCTGCACCAAAATGTCGTGTTCAGCCAATTTATTCTTAATTTCAACGTCCTCGGCCAAAATGACCACTTGAACCACGACGTCGGGTTTTTTCTCGGCGCACAGGCGTCGGTTTAGCGGGTCCAGCTCTCCGGGAGCTAAAAACTTCTCTTGCAACAGTTTGCCGATGATGTACAAAGATTGGGCCCACAAAAATGGACTTTGGCCCAGAGGAATACGCCGTTGGGTGCCGGGTTCTTTGTATTCGGCGGGTACCAACTCGGCGGGCACCGCGTACAGCTCTGGTACCAATTTGGTGCCATCTTCCGTCTTGATCATGATCTGCATAGAAAATAGTTTATTGCCAAAAACGTTCTAAAAATCACATGAATGCCCAATCCCCACGACTATATTTTCTATGTTAAATTACACAAATTTATTCCCATTTGACCTGTTATTTCATAGATATAAAGTTATACATACCTCGTCTAATCTTTCGCTATATTCTAAGGCAGCATCTCGATCACCGGTAAATAGCGCGTCCAAAATTAAGTAACAATAAAACATTGGCCATTCGCATTCGATGTGTTCAAACATTCTCAATTCCCATGGTTCGTAGTATAATCGGTTTGGGTCCTGAAATATAAAAGTTGACATTGGGCCAATGCCTCAAAAGCTTTTAAATAGCTTGACTTTGTAAGGTTAAAAGTAACATCTATTAAACTATTTCAAACATTCTCCTATGTTGACTTCAACAAAATATTTCTTACCTCTTTAGGAGTTTTAAATCCATCCCTCAAAAACCTCTTACACCCATACTTCCCCAGCAATTTCTCAACGATAGTCTCTTTTGTCATATTAATTACATTAGGATCATCCACAGCAAAAGCCGGATAACTAATTACTGCCAATAATCCACTATCAATCTCCTTCGAACTAGATTCTCTAGGTAACATCGATTGCAGTACCGCTTGGCATTTTTGAGCTTCGTCGGTTAAAACGTGGATAACGCTGTAAGGTCCTCCGCGAGCACCAAATAAATCGAGTTCGTTCATCGCTTCGAGAGCTGCCTTGGCCATGCCGATGGAGCTGGCGTTCAATTCCGGCAGGCCGTGGTTTGTTTTGTCTCCTCGTTCCCAAACTCCATAATCTGGGGTGCAGTAGGCGCACTCGATGTAGAATACCAGGTTTTGGATGAAGGAAACTTCGTCTAAATTGAATATGACCTAAAACCAGACTTTGATTTTCAAGTTATTTTCTTTTTTAGCTTTAAAACATGATTAAAAAGTTGAGTGTGTAGAAGTGTTTAAAAATTGGAGCTGAATAAGATGTATTTGTTTGTACCTGTAGACCAGAAGCTGTCATTTGGGCTAAAATAAGCAAATAAAGCGAAATGGCATCAATCTGTAAGTGACCCCATTCGTTGTCGCCTACTACAATTTGGCCTGTTTCAGAGCAATACTTTGCATGTAGGGAATCCAGAGGGTTTTGGGTTTGTTTAAATCTGAAAAGAAAAAAAAATTTTGATTTGTGTTTAAGATAAGGTCTCGGGAAAAAAAAAAGAAAACTACAGTACTTAGTAGGCAAAGAAAAAAATAAAATAAAATTTAAAATTACACAAAGAAGTTGAGATTGTTTCTATGAATTCTTTAGCCCTACAATGTCCTGTTTAAATTTTCAACAGATAATTATTTTAAAACAATGTGAAATGTAATAGCTATGTACCAAGATACGTACTAAGATGTATGTAGGTACAATAGTACAAATTGGAGAAAAGTGCAACCTTAGAACCATCTTCAGTTCAACAATGCTTCATCTGAGAAAAGAACTACCAATAATTAAATCAGTGATAATTTTTTCGGAAAAGCTCAATCAGGTACAGGGTGATCTTTTATAAATGTCACCCCTCCTTACTTTTTCATTTGACGTTTTTAACAAAAGTGTCAAATACAAAAGTTTTGAGAAATTGTCAAAAGTTTTTAACTGGGTAAGTTTCAAGCATACAGGGTGCGTCAAAAAAGTGTAGCAGTGCGAACTAATATTATTTTAAATGGAACACCATGTATATTGTGCGCTTATTTATTAGTGCTCTCCAACGATATATGGTTTGATATGTCTATCTTCAATAGTTATAGGGAAACAAATGAAACCCCCTTTCAAGGTCTCATGTTGAAGAAAGAATAATTATTCACTGTTTCGTGTTCGATTTCCCTGAACTAGTTATGGAATGAATTCAGCATTGATATTTTTAATGTTTCTCTTGATCAGTTTAATGGAATGGTAGAACAATTCTGTATCAGTAATAGATAAGGCAACTTGTTATTTTTTATTGTTATTTCTTGTTATATAATGACTATCTGTGTCCTCATAACTTCCAATGTAAAGCAAATTCTGCAAAATGAACACTAAGAGAAAAGTGCGCACACCCAATTCCACGAGAGCAGCCCTGCAATCCTCCCTGTTTTTCGCGATGGATCTGTCATCAAATAATATCGAGAATAATATTATACAGTTCTTATCATATATAATATCACAAGAGTAAAAATTTTGTCGGCAAAATTTTCGAAAGGTATGAAAGTTTGTTGCTTGACAATTTCGCGAATGACATATTGGAGAGTAATTAAAAAGGCATCGAATGAAGCTCCAACCCTCTAGCCCCTCTGATAAGGAAGGAGTCAAACTCGGAGTCAAATAAATTGTAAAAGAATAGTTTCTTTCTATTTTATAATTTCCAAGCAATTGTTTCACCTAAATTTTGAAGAGCGATTTAAGCTGGAAAAATCATGTTGACTATGTCACAAAAAAAATTAGAAAATTACTTAATATGTAGGTAAGTATACAAACTCCTTGAACTTAGAAATATCTTACCTTTCAAAATGCTTAAAACCGTTTTATTATTCATTAGTTGAAGCCATTATAAATTATGCAATTATTGTCTGGGGCAATGTACCAAAAACAGTGTTAACAAAGCTATGTATCGGCCAAAAATATATAATTAATAATTAAGGTACTTAATGATGTTTAAAAATAAAATATTTTCTACAGAATTGCTATTTTAGGAGAGTAAACTCTTGAACAGAAGAATGATATATAAAATCTCCATTAAGAATCATGATTAACAATCAGTGCTACAGAAATGAAATGCTGCATAACATTAGCACAAGAAGACATGCAGCAAACTACAACCTATCAATGGCCTTTGTCAGACTGGTGTGAAGTTAGCAGCCATTTTCTGGCAGCCAAAATTGTGAACTTAGCAGGCAGCCATTTTCAGCAGCCAATATTGTGGAGTTAGCAGCTATTTTCAGCAACCTTTCTTTATTTATATATTTTCAACGTGAGGGTAGGTTCCCCAAACAAACATGATGTGAGGGGGTTGTTAGGACACAAAAAAAAAAATATACTCAAATTTAGTAACGCCTTTTAACAAAGTTTGTCTAAAATATGATTAACTTAGAATCTTTTAACACAGCTTATTAAGGTGATAAATGGTCAATAATCTACAATCTGAAGCTGCAAGCCTTCACGACCCGTCAGGGTTGAAAAAAAACCATCCCTGTATGTTGAAAAAATAGTGAAAAATATTAAGAAATTGTGTGCGTTAATCATAGTCTGATCACAGCTTACCAAGATTATGATAAATCTAAAGTGTGAAACACAACCCCTTATGACCAGTCAAAGTAGGAAAAAACCCCGGAAAAAAACCTTCCAATATGTTGAAAAAATCACAAAAAAAATAGTAAAAAAATGTGTGTGTTAATCAGATTTTGCATACAGCTCATTGAAGTGGTTATGAACCTACAAAATGAAGGACAACTCCTTACGACCCGTCAGGGTAGGAAAAAACATCCTAATATGGTAAAAAAATCGCAGAAAAAGAGTAAAAAATTGTGTGCGTTAATCAAACTTTTACAAAGTTCATTGATGTGGTTATGAACCTACAAAATTAAGGACAAACCCTTACGACCCGTCGAAGTAGGAAAAAACCTTCCACATATGTTAAAAAAATCGCAAAGAAAATAGTGGAAAAATGTGTGCTGTAATCAAATTTTGCATACAGCTCATTGAAGTGGTAATGAACCTACAAAATGAATGACAACCCCTTACGACCCGTCAGGTACGAAAAAAATTCCCTTATATGTTAAAAAAATTGCAGAAAAATAGTAAAAAATTGTGTGCATTGATGAAACTGCACACAGCTCATTGAAGTGATTATGAACCTATAAAATAAAGGACAACCCCTTACAAACCGTCAGGGTAGGAAAAACCACCCCCAGGTGATAAAAAATCGCAGTGTAATAGAAAAAAATTGTATGCATTAATGAAACTTTGCACACAGCTCATTGAAGTGGTTATGAACCTACAAAATGAAGGACAACCCCTTACGAACTGCCAGGGTAGAAAAAAAACACCCCCATATGTTAAAAAAATCGCAGAAAAATAGTAAAAAATTGTGTAGCTCTCTTACTCTTAATAAAACCCAACATTTTATCAGCTCTGCCAATTATTACTTCAAAATGCTCGATGTACCATCGTCACCAAAAGTAACTGGGACACAAATAATGCATAATAATCTCCTGGACTAATTCTACTGTCATTCATTTCAATGCATTTAATGCATAGTTTGACAATAAAATTCATATAATAGGACAAGAGCTAATGTGATGCTGTCCCAGTTATTTTTGGTGACGATGGTACATTAATCTAGTCTAGTATGTCTCGAGCTCACGTCAGCTGATCATACAACTTCAAGTCATCAGCGAAAAGTACAAAATTTGAGAATCATCAATAAATAAGCTTAATAGAAGGGGGTTCAAGTGAGACCTTTGGGGTACTCCAGAGGACATGGTAAAGAGAAGAAAGATAGCCATCAATGTTGACTTGTTGCATTCTATTAGTAAGATGTGATTTCATTTGTGAAAATAAAGGTCCAGACTCGGGTCCAGAAACGCCATAACTTAAGAGCATTGAAAGAAGGATGTTGTGGTTTATCTGAGGGTTTACCCTCGGGTTTACCTTATCAATGGCTTTTCTGAAGCCGGTATATATGGCATGAGTTTCTGCATATGCTATCAAATGATAAATTTACAAATTTTGTAAAGAGAAACAGGTTCGTGTCAACAGATCTACTAGCTATAAAACCGTGCTATTGACTGATCACAATCTGAGGAAATCTTCCACATTTCTGGAAAAATTGCAGGTTTGGTAAAAACATCAAATAGAGGGAGATACAAAGTGTTAGAACAAGATTTTAGTACTCAGTTAAAAATAGCATCAGGTTTTGCAGACTTGTTGATGTCCTGTTGTGTTAAAGCCTTTTCAATAACGATTGAATTGAGTCTGTGACAATGCTTGAAACATTCTCAAATTGATCAGTAAAAGTTCTGACATTGGTAATATTGGCAAGTTAGTACCTATGGTTTATTTTTTTCCAAGATAGATTTTGGCATTGTGAACTTTGAAACATAAACAATGCCGCTAATGCCACTTATTGGCCGCTATTGTAAAACTGATGTCAACCTGCAGAAACACCTCATTTTGCGACCAATCAGGGTCAAGCGTTATTGTTTATGTTTCAAAGTTTTCAATGTCAAAATATATCTTGGAAAAAAATAAAGTGTACTTACTTATAATTCTAGCCACTCACCTCTCGACTTTGTCCTTCTGTTGCATCATACACATCAAAAGGCCTCGCATTAGCTTAACACAAGACTGTTCCAATTCGTAAGTTTTCGCTCTGTCTTCGTCCTGATCTGCCATCTTTTTGTAAGCCATCGAGAGGCCCCAAACGGACATAATACAATAAACGTTGTTCCTGATCCAGGCATGATTGTTGTGGTCATTCAATGGAAACAATCCAGTTACTGGATGCTGTTTGGACATGATCACTTTGTGCACGATGCGCTGGTAATAGTCCAAACGGACGCCAGAATTACTTCGGCTTCGCATTTCGTTAAGATTTTTGCAATAATTTTTAATGAAAAATTATAAGTAAAAATAAATAAACAAAAATTGAGGTTAGGGTAGCTTCAATGACAAATCAATGACGTGCTAAAGCTCCGTTTACAGCTTACGATTTTATAGGTTTCGTCCTCGGTCGTAGTCAAGGATAATACACACTACCAGATTGCTTATTGGCTTCGTTTTTGGTAATCGTCGCCATATTAATGTTTCACCATTTCCGACGTCATAACTAACGCGTCAGCTGTTTGCACTAGGGGTCGAAGTTTAGAGTTTATTTATGAAGAAAATTATTATTTAATTTTGATTAACCTAGTAAGAGTAAGCCAAGAGGAAAATGAAAACGAAATCTCAAAAAATGTGTTTTGAATGTTAATTAATGTGTAGTAGAAAAACCAAGTATGCAAGCAAAAGCCCGCGGAATCATAACCTGTAGTGCAAACAGCCTACGTCAAGGCAATAAAGTACATGCTGCCTACGTCACAACTGGTGATTTGGCGTGATGGGGGGCTTCAGATTTGTTCCATACAGGCTTTATGAGCTATAAAGCACATTACTGTTATTGCCCATCAATCATTAATGTGAATTTTCTGAAGAGTTTTGAAATTGACTGCTGATAATGAAATGTGTAATGTTCATTGAATAACATAGTTCTGTCTAGTTTTATGATTTTTTGGGTGAAGGTCCAATAACTCCAATGCCAAATGTTAGCATTCATTTATTAAAAAATAGAGCTTATAAGTAGGCATGTTTAGATACAAACAGAAAAGTTAAATTGCTTTAGAAACGAACAATAGGCCATTTCTGGAATATCTTCCCCCATACATCTAGCCGTTCCCTTTCTGGAATATTTATCATTCCAGTTGTCTGCCCAATATCGAAAACTTGGATTGGTTGATTCATTTTCACAGGTTTCCACAATTTGTTTGAATGTGGTGTCGGATTTCCATAAGTAGCAAAGTTAACCCATAGTTCAGCGAATGTTCGTATCGATCTATCTTCTAAACTTCCTGGTTCGACTGTTGGGGTAATAATTGAGGAAAACTGATAGCCCAATTCGTCACCATGACATGTCCCTATACAAATTTTGATAAAAACAGACAGGATTTTACAAGAAAAGCTCACCTGGTTCATCCGTACGATTCATAAGTAATTTTACTCGATTTAGTTTGCCTGCCAATGAAACACGGTAGACGTATATGGGATTTAAAGAGTTTTCCAAGTGGTATTTTAGAGCTTCAATCACTTCGGCAAGAACGTAGCTGTCAGTTAAGGGCTAAAATATACGTAATCAAGTTTACCAGAAGTTCTTTTAGAGTCTTTTGTGAAACTACTTACATCATATCGAGCACTAGCGGGTTTTCCAGAATAAAGCTGACTTAGTTTAGCAACAATTGCCTTGCTATCATCACTTCCTTTCGGTATATCTAGTTGATAGGGTATCATATTTTCGAAATTAAAATTTGGAAAAATTAATCCGAGCTTTTCAGCTGCTTCTATGTCTAGGTCAAATATCATGCCCTCATTTTCAACGTAACCCATAATAATCGGCACTTGGTTATACGCTCCGTCTTTGATAAGTTTTATTGGATTTTCAGTCAGAAATGGCCTGTCATTTGGTACTTCTATTACAGCCGAAAATGGTCGTTCGCCTGCTGGATATGTATTCTTAAATATAAACTAATTATTAAACAGTCTGAATTCAAATGAATTTTTGAAACTCACATCTACAACTAACTGTTGAGCTGTAAAAATTTCCAGAGCTGTAAGATTTTTCAAAATATCTAAAGCTTCTCGATTAGTACTGGCTTTTTTCCCAGCTTTTGCTACAACTTCTATTGCGTTATTTTTTCTACCCCAAAACCAGGTATTCAAAGAACATCCGCTTTGCATTATGGCTTTGTGAAATAAACCTCTGGAAGCTGGTGACAAAATGTGAGTGTGGACGGATGCCGAGCCTGAGCTCTCACCGAAAATCGTAACGTTATCTGGATCTCCGTTAAACTTTCGAATGTTTTTCTTTATCCATTTGAGGGCCAAATTTTGATCTTTTAGGCCCATGTTACCAAAAACGCCTAGTGAAGGGTCATCAAAGCTAAGAAATCCTAAAATTGTATCATATTATGAACAAAATTGCACAAAGAGATAAAGAAACTTGCCAAGAACGCCTAAACGATAGTTGAAAGTTACTAACACTATATCTTTCAGCATGAAGAAATCGGGTCCATAAACGTCGGGGCCACTAGAACCAAATGTTAGCCCACCTCCATAAAAGAACACCATTACAGGTTTGAGGCACGAGTTAGGTTCGGGTAACTGAAAATGTTCAGATTGATTTTTGATTAAACTTGATTAAAATTTCGTATATGTATTAATAGACTACTTACATTTCTTGTATAAACATTTAAATACAGACAATCTTCTGAGCCTACTGTATTCAAACCAAAATCATATGTGGAAATGCATATATCGCCAGTTTTATTGGCGTTCCGAATTCCTGTCCAACTTTGAGCTGGTTCGGGTGGCTACGAAATATATGTATATGAGGAGAAATAGCAAATTCAGTTTCTAGGGGGAAAGTAACACATTCTTGGCATAACGAAGCGTAGCTACGGCCAGGACATAGAAGAAAATTGAAAAGTGCTTACAAATTAGAGATACATTTTAAAACAAATACAGACCTAAAATAGTTACTTTGAAGTGGTTCACATGCAAATTTTTATCGAAAGCAACAACAATTGGATTCTGAGTGATCCACAAATTTAAATGAGAGTGACTTGAGACTTTCTGAGATGTTCAGAATGTTTTAAAGCTTGTCAGGGTTCCAAATATCTGAAAAATTACTCAGAAAGAATTTGTTGAGTTTTCTATAGTGTCTTAGGAAAAAATAGTTTATCCACTGTTTTTAACAATTATTATTGTAGTATGAAAACACGCCGTCACTGGTAAGGTCTGCCACTGTGCTCCACGTCAGTGTTAAGAAAAGGAAGGTAACGCGACGCGGACTGGTGGGGGAGTTTTGACACGGAGAGTCACAGAGAGGACATGGTTGCGCATGGTGAACGTTGAGAACTGCTGTAGCTGAAATCTATAATTATTTATTGTTTTGCACTATCTTATGGTTATTTTATTGAATTGAAAAGGGTGAAGTTTACAAATGCAGCGGAGGGATCGTGCAAATTTAGTGCTTCAGTCGGAATGTCGACGAATATTGTTTAGTGAATGATTTTCTGGTATTAAGAGCGAAAAGGATTTCAAACCGTACTATGTATTGAACATTGTGTAAAAATAAAATTTGGCTAACGTAAAAGCCGGATAAAGGTTCATTTGTTATTCTTTTCTTTTCGTATTTCAGTATAAACCTTAGTTTATAGGTATTTGATTTTTTTCCTAACAAAATGGTAGAATAATCGATTTTGTTTTCGTTATTTTTACCTAGTTATTGTTAGTTACTAGTGATTATTTGAATAGTTATTAGTTAGAAAACCCAATTTTGTATTTTTTTAAACGTTATAGATATTACCACCGCCGCCTGATTGTGATGGTTGGGTAAGGGAGACTTTGTTTTAGCATTGATAAAGGCCTTTTTTGTACTGCGGTAGCGTGCCACGGAGGATTTTGTTTAGGAGAGTCCCACTGAAAATCTAGGTAACTTTGTACGGATACTTTTTAGTAATCTGATTAGATCGCCTCTTCCAGTGCGGGTTCTTACTACCTGAGCTGTACACAGTTAGTTGGAATGCTAGCTCGGGGTTTTCCGAAGGAAATAAAATAATCAGTTTTTCTTACTAAACTCTAACTATGGTTTATTGAACAAATAGTGAAACTTGACAAGGAAATGAAAGAAAAGCAAAGAATATACAGGAAGTTATTAACAAGTTATATACTGAAATGAAATAAAAGACATTCCATACAGAGCTTTTGGAATGATAGGGAGTGATTTTAATGAGCATCCTGTATAGTGCGTTCCTAAACCTGCAGATTTTTCCATCAACAGTAGTCATTTCAGGCTATGAAGGATCTCTTGTGAATGTTGTTGTTGGCACAACCAAGACCCATTTAAAAGTTGATCGAGCGGAAGCAGAAGTTGCAATATTAGTAGTACCAAATGAGGTCCAAGATGTTGCAATTATGGTAGGGAAGACTTTTCTGCATCAGCCTCATAGCCATGATAGTTTGTGGGGAAACTGTAAGGCTGTTGCCAACTGACGAAGATATAAGCAGTTGCATAAAGTCCGTCGATTTTAATCTGATACTCGGAAGAAATGTGAGCTGATGGCACCCTACATTAGAACGCCAATGGTCACCTGACGTCACACCTGGTTTTGCCATATACTTCACCCCCTCGCGCCTCATACTGGAAGTGACAGATAAAAATCGACAAACAATAGATATCAAATCCAGGCAGGGCGGGATTTAGGCACAGGCACAGGCAACCGAGGCAACCTATACCACTTAAGGGTAATAGGGAGATAATAGAAGATCCAACAACATTGTCCGGTAATAGTTAATTTACGTGTCACCACTGTCACCTGTCAGCGCTCATCAAGGCACTTTCGATCATTTTTGTTTCAAAACAGATTGAACGGACTTTCGCTCTAAGGGCCGGTTTCTTAATAGCGAGTCACCTCCGGGTTAATTTTAACTCCAAGGGTGAGCGAGACCAGTTGCTATGTTTGCCCCGGGGTTATGCTCAACCCGCGGGTGACTCGCTATTGAGAAACCGGCCCTAAGAATTGAAAATGTTAAAACCTTCGACCATTGAACACACTCGATGGTTATAACATGTTCGATGGTGTAGATTACGAACTCATCTTTGACTCTGCAAGACGTAAAGCCAGAGGGGTTCATTTTTAGTGTTGATAATTTAATTAGCTGTGTATTTACAGTATAGATCTGTTCTCACAGACATCACATACCTATCAGAGCGAATTTCATTGGTTGTAAACTATCAGAAAACTGGTTTCTGGCGATTTGCACCAATCAAAAACACTCCGACTGGTTTGTCGTTTCTGTGAGAACAGACTTCATGTGAAAAGTAAATATATCATATACTAATTTAAAAAAATGAAGTTACTTTTTTAGTCTTATTCTCCTACTCTCTAAATAAAAATTCATTATTTATCATATTGATCTTTAACCATTTTGTCAATACAATATGAGAAGGGGGCGCCAGAATTTAACTTCGCCTCGGCATAAAATAGCTATTGGACCGGCCCTGAATCCAGGAAAATACCGTTATGGGCAAAGTGTTATACGGTTATTCCAGCGAGAAATCTTAATTGAACAATTTTCAATTAGCACTTCTTGCAGTCACATCGTGTGGCAACTATAATGGAGAAGACTTCATCTATGGGGGCCTATGACCGTTTTCCGGAAAAGAACATCTCGTAGAGGCCTGCATTACGAACGCAGCTGATGGGTTTATCTCCTTGATCCAATCAAGGACACTTGAACTGTGCAAAACAGATATTTTAAAAATATCTATACATCTTAATGATAATACACCTGTAGTATAAAGACTATACCGTCTCTCCTACAATGAACGAAAAGTTGTGAGACAAACTGTGGAGGATTTATTGCATAGTAAAATAATTCGTGAATCAGATTTTCCTTACTCGAGTCCTATATTGTTGGTGAAGAAAAAGAATAGCGAGAAGCGTATTTGTGTCAACTTTAGAGCACTTGACGCTAAAATTGTTAATGACCGATTTCCACTTCCACGAACTAGGATTTTTTCGAAAGTTTAAAGGGTTGTCAATATTTCACATGCTTAGATCTGGCTGGCGAACATCCATTTCAAAGACAGCTTTTATGATGCCAGATGGCCACTATGAGTATCCAAGGGTCCCATTTGGCTTATGTAATGCACCTGCAATATTTCAGCCAACTACAAATAAAGTATTAGGCAATTTGAGGTATGGAAAGGCCATTGCATACATGGATGATATTTTGTTGCCAAGCAAGGATTTTGATACAGGATTGTCAAATCTAAGAGAGGTGTTTCGAGCTGCTCATGGTGTTACATTACGTTTATCAAAATATCATTTTTTTCAAAGAATGGGTCAAATATTTAGGTCATGAAGTTTCTAAAGAGGGATAGTGCTGCCAGAAAAAGGAAAAACTGAAGCAGTTAGTAATTTTCCAGTCCCTTCAGATGTTCGATCTGTTCGTTAGTTTTTGGGCCTTGCTGGTTATTTCAGGAAGTACCTACGTGAGGAACTTTGCTACAGTCGCTAGGCCTCTAACCTCTCTGACCAAGAAACATGGAATATTGAACAAAGTAGAGCTAGTCTGGCCCACCACTGTGCGCCACGTCAGTGTTAAGGAAAGAAAGGTGACGCGACGCGGACGGGTCCGGGAGTTTTGATACGAAGAGTCACAGAGAGGGCATGGTGACGAACGTTGAGAAGTGCTGTAGCTAAAATTCATGTTATAGTATATTGTTTTGCATTATCTTATGGTTGTTTTATTGAATTAAAAGGGGTGAAAAGTTTACAGTAGAAGCTATAGAAACATTTTCAGTAATTAAGAAATGATTCATACAGTTGCTTGAAAGTATGCAGAGCCTGTTCAAATGCATATTTTAAATGTTTCACAATCTAAAGCAACAAAAAACAAAATTAAGGAATTCACAAATTGAAATGAGACTCTGTTACATTTGTAGTATTTTTTGAGCTGTTAAGAATGTTTTAAAGCTTGTCAGGAGTTTCATAAATATGAAAAATGAATGAGCAACAGGCAACAGTTTTTTTACTGTCTGCAGCGTCTTAGTAGCAAAAATATGTTTTATCAAATCTTTAAATCACAATTTCTTCGACTTTATACAGGTTGTCGTACCGGGAACCAAATCAATCTGAAAAACTGTATGCAGAAAATTGTTGAAAATTTGCCAGATACTAATGTCAATGGGGGCAACCCGGCTAAAATATTTTCAAGATGGTGGCCCTTCCTGTTATAACGCAAGTAGACGTCAAGTTGCTTATTTTAAATCAGACACCCTGTATGTGATTGCATATTTAGATTATTCGTAAAGTTCTGAGCAGATTTCATGTGATATACTTTTATCTAAGTTCAACTGTTTTGGAAATATTGACAGTTGCAA